CCAGGGCCCACAGTTGGTGCAAATTCCCTAGATCTTCACAGCAGCTCTCCACAGATGCAGTGTCCAGACCCGTGGAATGATCAGTGGCAGTTTAGGAGGAAGCGTAGAAAGCGGGGACACCCAGCCTTGGGGAGAGTCCGCCACTTGTTAAGCAGGGGAGGTGTTTGGCCACATCCCAGAGGCCTGACTCTGACCACACCCATCCCAAATCTCAGGGCCAGAGTGCAGAGATGGCTCTGGTTATCACCACCAGTGCTGGGAATCTAGGGACCCAAGTACCTCTGAATTGACCTTCTGCGGTCCTGAAGCCCTTAGTCCAGGAGATCAGATCTGCCCAGAGTTTTGGCAAAGTTAAGGGGCAGGGTCTGTTCAGAGGATCCCTGTGTGAGGTCAGACAGCCTCATCCTAGCCCTTCTGTCCTTTGGGATAAACACCTTCTATCTCATGCCTCATCAGGCAGGCAGCTACCTTTGGGAAGGGTGGCTCAATAACCAAAGAAAAATGTGCTTTCTTCTCTGAAAAAAGAAAAGCATCTGCCCTAAGATGCTGGGTAGGTCCAAGGGCCTGGCCGGAGCGGAGATGCTCAGGAGCAGTGGGAAGGAGTCTCAGCACTGGGGCCAGTAGAAACATCCAGTTTCTCCTTTGCTGAAAGAGAGCCCTGAGAGACAGGTGCCTTGCTTTGCAGCAGGGATTGGAGGTGAGATGGGATACAGGAGGGGACAGAGTTGCTCCACTGAGCCCGAGACCTCCACCTAAGGAGAAAGATGTCTCTTCCTTGCCCACAAGCTTAGTCCTTATCTGCTCTCTGCCCCAAAGGACAGCAAGTCATAAGACTCCAAAGACGGGTCGGTACAACCCTCTCCTTCCCTGTTTCCAAGGCTTAGGCCGTCCCTGCGGTCTTACCCCCGTCATCCCCAGACTGCTGGGAGTCTCCAGAGAGGGCAAGGCCTCTGGTAAGAAAGCCAGGTTGACCCAGGACTTCTCAGCAGACTTGTGGGCCCAGAAAGGAAGGGGATTTGAGGGGAGGGCCTAGCAATGGGTGCTGGAGATGTCAAAACCTTGAGCCTCAGCATCTTTGAAGTCAGACAGCTGAGAGTACCATCAGGGACCCCAGCTGTGTGGCCTCTGAACCTCTCTCGACCTCTCTGAGCTTCACTTTCATTCAAGTGGGAATGATCCCCATTCCATAGTTTGGAAAATTAAAGCAGGTGCGTGCCTGTGTGTGTATGTGTGCACATGTGCATGTGTGGAGGTGCCTGGCACAGAATAATTGCTTATACATTTTTAAAGCCTCCCTCATATCTCAGGCAGGTGGCAGAATTTTATAATCAACTTTCTAGCACAACTTTAGCAAGGAACCCTGAGTGCATCCAGCAACCCCTAGCCTGGGCTGCTGGCAAAGCTGGCTCTTAGCTGCCTCGTGCTGAAGCTTTGACCCAGAACCAGGCCCTGGAGGAGCAGAACTCGTTATGTAGGAGGAGCTGCTCTGTGACTTTCTTGAAGTCACCCTTGAAAGGGAGTCCAGGATGTGCCTGGGGTAGGACAGTGGTGTTCAGACTCCTGATGTCACCCCGTACTGGGAGACTTCCATCCCCCGAGTCAGTCCCCCTTCTCTGGACACACACAGAGAAGCGTGCATGCATACACAGTCCCTGTGTCTGAGGGCAATCTGGGTCAACTCTCTCCCTGTAAACTGTGGGCCCTGTGATCTAGAAGGATAGGGTAGCAGCCCCTCCCCTGTGGGCGCTGTGGTGGTGGGGAGGGCTGTTTCAGAGATGACTGTTTACAAGAATCCCACATTTTTGTTGAGACAACCAGAGAGTCCCTTGTACCCACTCCCACCTGTTGCCTCCCTGACTCATGGCCCACCTGTCAGCCCAAGGCCTCTGAGGAAGCTCCCAAACATCCTAGTTTTGGCCCCCACCCCCAATTTAATTTCAGATATCCAAATAAGGAGTTTTAAAGTGTGTCCAAGAGAAGTCCCCAGAAAGCATCAGGCCTTGGGAGCTCTGTCGCTTTGAGGCAGCTTGATGTCGGGGCAAGAGTGGGTAAAGTGCAAGGCCAGCTAGGGTCAGGCGAGCCAAGCGGACTCATGTCCCAGGGACAGGATGTGCACACCCACCCCATGGGGTCAGACCAGCCTGGAGCATCCAGCGTCTGCCACCTACTGAGTGATATGATCAGTTAGGCACCCTCTCTGGGCTGAGGGGGACTAATTCCTACCTCATGGGGTTTGAAGGATTGATTTGGAGCAGAGTACAAAGTGGATGACCCCAGACTCGGCCCAGAGAAGGGTGGTCAGTAGCTATGATAACACACATGATCTCAGTTAGCAGCAACTCCACCTTCCCAGGAGCTCAGGCCAAAAACTGTGGCGTCATCCTTGATGCCTCTTTCTCTCACATCTTCCACCAAAACTTAGCAAATCTTGTCATCTCTTGCTTTATCTGGCACCCCACTTCTTCTCATCACCTCCTACCACTGTACCCAGGTCCAAGCTGCCACGACCTCTCCCTTGTCTTATTGCATTGGCTTCCCATCATGTCTCTCATTGGACCCTCCAGTCTTTTCTCAACACAGTAGTTAGTGGGATCAAGCTATCCTTGTCTCCCTGTTTCATTCACCCAAGTCAGTGCCATGGCCAGAAAGGCAACTCATGATCTACTCACCTCCTCAACTCTCTGGCCTCTGTTCCCACCACACTGTCCCTCACTCTCCCTGAATCACCCTTTGTTGCTCAGCACTCAGGCATGGTTTCCCCCTGCCTGGGGGGTTCACGTGCCCTGATACCCCTGCACCTCAATCTCCCCTTCCCCATGAGGCCTGCCTTGACCATTGCAGCTGACATCGCCACCCACCCCACCCAGCACCCACTCACCTCTTACCTTGCTCCTACAGTACTCAACACCTTCTAGCATACCATGTAATTTACTGATTTATTTTTTAATGTCTGTATTCTGTCTTCTCTCATTACAGTAAAAGCAGCAGAAGGACAAAAATCTTTGTTTTGTCCCCTGGTGTATCCCAGGCACCTAGAACTCAATGAATATTTGTCATGTGAATGATGGAATCTCATTATTATGAGATGGTTGAGGCAACCAACTTCTAACCACAGAAAAATTCAGGTTTTCTACAGCTAAGTTCTGATCTTCTGAAGGTGCTTGGGGTGAGGGTAGGGAGGACTGAAAAACTGGCTCCCCTATGCCCTTGGCCTCCTCCCTTTTTTAATTCTACTGCCCTGGGGTGCGTCCCCCTTCAACATGCTAGCAGAGATACAAACTCATTCCTTTGGCTTTCCTCTGCACAGCGGAAGCTTTTCTGGTGGCTCAGAGAGTAAAGAATCTGCCTGCAATGCAGGAGACCCAGGTTTGATCCCTGGGTTGGGAAGATCCCCTGGAGAAGGGAGTAGCAACCCACTTCAGTATTCTTGCCTGGAGAATCCCATGGACAGAAGAGCTTGGCGGGCTACAGTCCACGGGGTCACAGAGAGTCAGACACAACTCTCTGCACAGTGGAGGTCAACTGGAACTTGAGTTTTTACTATTTCCTACCGTGGGAGAAAATTAACACAGAAAACACAAGAATTATAAAAATGGTCTGGTTTAGGAAGTGGGTATAGGTGTGCTCATGTTTCCAGTTCCTTCTGAGATGTCTGCATCCTTGCCTCAGGTGCCTGGTCTGGGTTCCCTCCTTCCCGGGGCCTAATCGCCCACACTCTGCTCACCTCTCTCCTTCTCCCTCCTGACCCTGGAGCTAGAAACCTAACCCACTGTTTCCCAGTCATGGTCTTGAGAAGGTCACTTCTCTGGGGCAGTTTCCTCTTCTGTAAAACTGGACGGCTCATGCTCTGGCCCTCGAGTTGTGTTGACACGCACAGATGAAATAGCAGTATAATGGACTTGGAGAACTTTTGAACCTTACAAAAGCCTAGGGTAACTAGGAGGTGTCAGCGCTTTCCCAAAGGCAAGAAGACTAATGAATCTGAAATAGGAGGCAGTGGGGGCTGTTGACGCAGCTGGTGTCTGCAAAAGCCACCCTTACAGGTCAGGTCACTCTTGCCAGGAGACTTGCATTCTGATCACAGGCAAAGGAGCTTTAATTTCAATAAAACAATGATCCTTTGGTCTCCTGACTCCCTGGCTGTAGATGAGGCTGACAGTCTTGGTTGGGCCAGGGGGAAGAGGCAGGACCCAGGGAAACTGAGGCTCCAAGTGGGGCCAAGTTGAAGTTCCATCAAATCTGAAGGGAATCCCAGGGGAGCTCATGTCCTGGGAAGGCCAACTTTGGGGGCAGAATTCTTATACTTCCTTGGGAAACTTTGCTTGGCGTAATGACATGCATAAAGTACCTACTATGTATTAAGCACCATGTTAGGTACTGGGGATATAGCAGTGATACGATAGAAAGGGCTCTCGCCCTCTAAAGGACATGCTGTCTCTCAGTGAGAGAGACGTGGAGCAAATACACAAATAATTATTATTAGCCACAGACGAAAGAACTCAGGAGGAGAAGAATAGGGTGCCATGAAAGTGTATGATGGGAAACCTGATTTTGTGCACTTGATGGTGGTGGTGGGGGTATCGGGAGGGTTTCCCTGAAAGTTCTACTTGAGCTAAGAACTTGTTGCAAGACATCAGTGGGATATTTTAGGCAAGTCAAAACGGCTCTCCATGTGTCCCTGCAGGTCCCTGGAAGCTGGACAGAGTGTCACCCTGAGGCCCTTGGCAGAAGTCAGGCCTCAGGGGCAGGGCACACAACCTAGCAGTGAAGGGGCAGGGAGGTGTCGAGGGGTGAAGCCTGGGCTCTTTGCCCCTCAGTCCTTGCAGACCCCACCCATCCCCTGGCACGTCCAGCTAGCACCGTCTGCAAGATCCCAGTTGCTCGGCCACCGATCGATGGAGGCGGCGGGGCAGGGCCCCATGACCTCACTGTAATGGTGTCCTGTAGCCCCGCCAGCAGGAGGAGAAAACAAACACTGAAAAGTCCCCCAGCGCTCCCAGATGCCTGCTCAGGAAGACTCAGGGCTCCAGGCTATGGGCTGCGTGCCCAGCTCAGGAGGCCAGAACGGAATTCGAAAGTGCTTGTTTCTCACTGAAAAATTCCAAAGATTGCTCAACATTCCTTTGACCCCAGGAGCTGGCTTTTGGCAGGAGGTGCTGAGAGCGGAGGATCCGGAGCCTGCAGGCGTTGCTCAGGGCTGTCAGGGAAGAGCTCCACTGTCCTGCTCCCTGGGGGGCAGCGGGAGAGGGGCTGGGGAGGGCTGTGGAGACACCTCCTCTTGTCTGGACCCAGGGGCACTGATGGTGGAGTGGATTTTGTAGGTCTGAAAAGAGGATGGGCAAACCAGCAGCCTTCAGTATGGGGAGCGAACATTCCTGGTCTTCCAGTGAGAGCTGCCAAGTTCCTGAAAGGCCCTGATGTTGGGGGACCAGGTTCTCGGGCTCTGGGGCAAAGGCTCCTAGACTAGCTCACTGAGATCAACTCCCTGTGACTACTAGGAAGGTCAGCTCCCTCTTTCCAGCTTTGTGTCTGAGGATGATGGCTTGGCTCAAACTCCTCCTCCTCCAAGCAGCTTGCTCCCTGCCTGGATTTAAATCCTCTCCTCTGAAAAGGTGCTAACCACACTGTGTCTCACTTTGTAGTTGTTTCTCTAAGTGTCTGCTCTCCTCTGCAAACGGGAAATGCCCTGGAAGACAGGGGCTGTTTTGGCACAGGCTAGTATAATTCCCACAGGACTCAGGTGGCATAGAAATGTAGGTACCAAGGAAGTCACTGCAGCACTGTTTACAATAGTGGAGAACAACAAGTTCTCCAAGTGTTCAACAGTGGGGTTTGATTAAATAAGCTGGAGTGTATCCACATTGGAATGCTAAGCAGCCACCGACAATTACATTTTAAAAAATATTTAAAGATACAGGAGTATGTTAAAATCAATAAACTCCTATCCTGCAGAGCTAAGCACTGTTAAGATTTTGGTCTGTTTCCTTTACATATTTTTTCTATGTAGATACAAAAATGTATTAAAATCCTACCGAAATGGGATTATATGTGGGGATAAAAGTTAAATTGTGTTAAGTGTGGATTGCATGCTTGTGAAAATTTGCATTCTGGTGAAAGTAATGGGAAACAGCAATTGGAGGGGAGTCTATGTTGTCACAGAATGTAGAGTATGAAGATGTTGAAAATTATCCTGCACTCAGCATTCTGTACACTGAATTAGAAAAGCCACAAATGACCTTGAGGCTGTCACTTGCTAACCGCACCCACCTCATTCTCAGAAAAGACCATGGTGGGGAGTGGTTTGAGAATGGAAAGAATGAAAGTCTATTGATCATATCAAATTTTGCATGGTCACTGAATTTCACATTTATTTTAACACATTAGAATCATACTGTGTACAGATGTTTCATATTATCTCTTATTTAATGTTGTATCTTAAGCAGCACTCCATCTTATTAAATAGTATTTTAAAACATATTGTTATGTACATGTTCTTGCTTTTTGAAAGTGTTCTTGGGACCCCCTTGGTGGCCTAGTGGCTAAGACACCACACTCCCGATGCGGGGGACCTCGGTTCAACCCCTGGTTGGGGAACTAGATCCCACATGCTACAACTAAGACCCAGCACAGCCAAATAAATCAATAAAATTAAATATTAAAAACATGTTTTTGTCCCTTATACATCAGGTACAATTGCTGGGTCAAAAGTAGAAATATTTGAAAGATTATTGAAATGTATTTCCAAATTTACTCCAGAAATGTTGTTCCAAATTACACTTAGAAGTGAATGAGTGTGTTTCCTGGAGCCCTGTCAATGAGTGGGTTAATCATTGTTAAAGTGAGGAGATGGAATTGAAAGCTACTTCCACAGGTAGAATTGATGGGATCTGATAGCTACTTGGGTACTGGGGGTGATGAAATCAAGAGCAGAAGCTCTTGATTCTGAATGATGATAATACTGAAGTCCTTGGCTTGAGTGTATATAGAGATGGCGAAGCCTTTGGTGGAGAAAGGGAGGAAAGGAAGAGGGTTGGGATCAAAATAGAAATTTGGGTTGGGAATAGAATCAGCTGGCAATGCAGGAGACCTCAGTTCGAATTTTGGGTGAGGGAGATCCACTGGAGAAGGGATAGGCTACCCATTCCAGTTTTCTTGGGCTTCTCTGGTGGCTCAGCTGGTAAGAATCCACCTGCAAGCTCGGAGGCCTGGGTTCAACCCCTGGGTGGGGAAGATCCCCTGGAGAAGGGAACTGCTACCCACTCCAGTATTCTGGCTTGGAGAATTCCATGGACTGTATAGTCCATGGGGTTGCAAAGAGTTGGACATGACCAAGCAACTTTCACTTTATTGTATATTTATTTTTATTTATTTATTTTTTATTATTTTTTTCCCATTTATTTTTATTAGTTGGAGGCTAATTACTTTACATCATTGCAGTGGTTTCTGTCATACATTGAAATGAATTAGCCACGGATTTACATGTATTCCCCATCCTGGTCCCCCTTCCCACCTCCCTCTCCACCCCATCCCTCTGGGTCTTCCCAGTGCACCAGTCCCGAGCACTTGTCTCATGCACCCAACCTGGGCTGGTGATCTGTTTCACCCTAGATAATATACATGTTTCGATGCTGTTCTCTTGAAACATTCCACCCTCGCCTTCTCCCAGAGTCCACAAGTCTGTTCTATACATCTGAGTCTCTTTTTCTGTTTTGCATATAGGGTTATCGTTACCATCTTTCTAAATTCCATATATATGTGTTAGTATACTGTAATGGTCTTTATCTTTCTGGCTTACTTCGCTCTGTATAATGGGCTCCAGTTTCATCCATCTCATTAGAACTGATTCAAATGAATTCTTTTTAATGGCTGAGTAATATTCCATGGTGTATATGTACCACAGCTTCCTCATCCATTCGTCTGCTGATGGGCATCTAGGTTGCTTCCATGTCCTGGCTATTATAAACAGTGCTGCGATGAACATTGGGGTGCACGTGTCTCTTTCAGATCTGGTTTCCTCGGTGTGTATGCCCAGAAGTGGGATTGCTGGGTCGTATGCCAGAAAAATAAATGACCCAATCAAAAAATGGGCCAAAGAACTAAACAGACATTTCTCACTTTACTGTATATTTATTTATTTATTTTTTTTTTGTGGATTTGACCCCTGGGTGTGGAGGATCCCCTGGAGGAAGGCACCAACAACCCGTTCCAGTCTTCTTGCCTGGAGAATCCTGTGCATAGAGGAGCCTGGCGGGCTATAGTCCATAAGACTGCTAAGAGTCGGACACAGCTGAAACGACTTAGCATAGCACAGCACAGCCCATCTTTTATTTATTTTTTTTTTCATTTATTTTTATTAGTTGGAGGCTAATTACTTTACATCATTGCAGTGGTTTTTGTCATACATTGAAATGAATTAGCCATGGATTTACATGTATCACTTTACTGTATATTTAAAAGAAACAAACAAAAAAATCACATAAGACTCAGAAGATAAAGACCTTTCCCCCAAAGAAAACATGAAAATAGTTAAAGAATAACAAAGTACCCATCTTATCATGCTGTTAACTAAGATCCATTTGGTTGAAAAACAGTAGACATTTAAGTTTTGTAATTTTAGTTAAAGGGGAGAATCTAGGGAATGTTCATTTTAAAAACCCAGAAGAACAGAGATACAACTAGGACCCAATCTTTCTCACACAGACAGGATTCTCTCTCTTTCATCTTTGTTTTTCTCTGCAGATCAACCTTATTCTCTCTCAGACTGGCATTACCCACACAGCAAGAAGTAGGCTTTTGAGGGTGCCTATGACTTACCTCTCATATCTTTGCTACTGGGATCTGGTCTCAAGGTCAAAAATCTCAAGGAAAGGCTCTTATTCACCCAGCATGGTCCTCAACTGAGGTTTGGGGTGAGCTATTATGAGCGGTTGTCTTAGCTCAAGTACCCTTCCTTGAGCTAACAAAGTTTCTGGGAGCAGGATTTGGAAGAGGATGGAGTATACACATGTGAACCAAAGGGCTATACAGGACAGACTGCTGTTCCGAAGAAGAATGCTCTTCCAGGAGTGTGAAACAATGAGTTTTCTTCCTAGCATACCCACATAATTCTCTTTCCATACAAATAATGCCCCCGAGTGTCCTCTCTTACCTCAATACAACCATCCTCTTCTCAGTGAGACATAACTCAAAGCCATTCAGCTACTACTTCTCACTTCAAGGATAGAATCTACAATGGGAGATCTCTTTCCTCTGGTAATTTTTATTTTCTTGTTCACTGTTATTGTTTTACAGCTTTAGATCAGCATGTGTAAGTGTGGATTTAGAATTTATTCTGCATGCTCTGTTGCTCAGTCATGTCTGACTCTGCGATCCCATGGACCATAGCCCACCAGGTTCCTCTGTCCATGGGATTCTCCAGGCAAGAGTACTGAAGTGGGTAGCCATTTCCTCCTCCAGGGGATCTTCCTGACCCAGAGATTGAACTCATGTCTCCCTCATCTCCTGCATTGGCAGGCAGATTCTTTACCACTCAGCCACCTGAGCATTATTTATCCTATTCATTCAGAGGATACCTTCTATCTGAGGATTCTGGAGAAGTTTGCACTGTTATCTCCTGAGTCTTCTCTACCATTTTCTCGAATCCTTTCATTTGAATCTTCTCTTTGATTGATCCTCTCAAATTCTTTGCCCTATCTCATGATTATCCTTTCATCATTTTCAGTTTTTAAAAATTCCTCTGTGCTGAGTTCTGGGTAATTTCCTCAGTTTCATCTTCCAAAGCACTAATTATTTATTGAAGTATATTCGGTTCAGAACTTCCCCCTAGCTATTCAGTTTTTAAGAATTAGATTTTTTCCTTTTCCAGGGTTTCTAACTGTTCATTTTCCATATCCACTTACTCATATTCATTTCTCCCCTCATCTTTTGAGGATTCTCAGCTTGCTTATTTTACAATACTTTTCCTCTTGTTCTACAATTTTCTTCTCATCTGAAGGGAGTTTATCTCCTGCTGATTGTTTTTGTTGGCAGCCTTTCTTCACATTAGTCTTTTTATTTCTTTTCTGTTTCCGATCCATGGACATGTTTATCTTCTTTTGAAATGTGACTGTGTCCTTTTATTTGTTTTCTCTCATATGTTTCTCTTTCACCGAAGAGGTGGCATAGACTGATGTTAACAGCTCAGGATCTACAGACTGCCTGTGTTCAGATCTTGGCCCATGACTTAATAAGAGTACAATTTGAGGCAGGTTTCTTCACCTTATCTGTAAACTAAAGTATAAAAATCATAGCACCCACCTAACAGGGTTTTGGGGAGGCTTGA